TGGGTGGTGCTGTGGTGGGTTTTGCCGGTTTTGCCTGCCGCGGCTGATGCTCACGATGCTCGGCTTCTATTGGGTGCCTCTTGGTGCACCTGATGCTCGTGATTCTCAGCTGCTTGCTGACAAAGGCGAACAGCACGCTTTTTCATCCATTAAGGAAGGACGTTCTCGATCTCCATGATGTGATCATCCATCCAATGCCGATGAGGTCCCACATGAATTGGAACAGAGTTGTGGGCTATGTTTCATGGGATACTAATGCTGATTCCTTGCTTGTAATTTACTTGCCAAGTCCCCGAATCCAGCCCCCAAACTCTGTGCCCTCAGATCCTTCAAACTCATAACCCCAATTAAAACCTACGTACTACGTTCCCAGATCTGGAGGTCAAGTTTTTTTCGCCAAAATCGGAACCTGCCCCGTTGATGCCGGAGGTGGCTTTCGTGCTGTTGCCACCACAAAAGGACGACTTGTCCTTGAGGCTTCGGGTGAGGGTCATACAGGGGTTTCAAGCATTTCAATCCGCTTGGAGTCTAGAGTTTGGAGTTTAGGAGCTTTGGGGATTTGAGTGTGGGATTAGCATCAAATTTAGGGCTTGGCGCAGGGTCTGCATCAGCAACATGTGGAAACTCTGTGAAGATCAACAAAGACGGGCAGAGAAGCCCCGACTTCCTAAAACCGAAACAACCCAAAGACCAGGTGAATCGCGCTCAAGATCTGAACCAAAGCCTCGGAAGCCCGCAACTCTTCAATCGTGAATTCACGGGCTTCAGAAACCTAGTTACAGAGGGATTTGGCTGTCAGGACAGCTATGCTTATCAGGGTTCAAAGAAGTTTGGGTGCAGGGTTTAGGGTGTCCTGTGAACACAGCCTAAACTGCTAGAGCAAGGATCAATTTTTGAAGCATGCCAAGAAGCCAGCAACACTACACGTCCACCATGCTCCACCACGGTGTTCGCAGCAGACATTCCTCAATTTGGCCGGACCCCTAAACCCCAAAACCCTATAACGCGACACCTCTGAGTCCGAAGGCCCTGAAGCAAAGGTTCATCATGACAGACAGGATCACAGGAAAAGACTAAGCAGAAGACTCTGAATGCGAGATCAGCGCGAGTAATAATACAAATGACACTAAACAATGTTCATAGCAACAACACCAACAACAACTATGCGACGGACGACAACACTACAAACTGCATTGCGGATGCCACGCGGAGTTGCTGCTAGAAAAGCCTCACAGTCCTGAGCCTCGCAGCCGCTTGCTTCCTAAACCCCAAACATCCCTAAATCTCGACCCGCACGACAGTGCCCTCTTGTGATCACGCTTGGACCAGAATGACCTCCCACAACACCTCGATTCCTCAACCCCGGATCAGACGGCTGTTTCTGTGTTCTTTCTCGGTGGTTTTTCGCGCAGGGCCTTCGCCGACGATGCCTTGCTGGCTCTGAATCTGCTCCAATCCCTGAAGCTATCTACTCCTTCTTAAGCATGCCTGTGATGGAAATCCTCCTTAATCTTGAGAAACTCTCAGAAGCCGGGACAATAAGCTCTGAACCAACCTGGCTGTGTGCTTGCCACACCTAGGACCTATGAGAAACTGGCTAGACAACTAGTAACGGTCTGAACTCAACTTACTGTACACAAGGGAATTCCGAACCCTGAACCCCGCGTCCAAAATCCACCACAACGCTTTACGAATCACCCTTTGGGGCCTCCTAGGCCGCCGCCGACCACGATTGCCTGGTTCGTTGGGAACGAACACGCCATGGTGGCCAAAAACGCCTGGGGCCAGGGCGTTTGAGGGTTTCAGGATCCTCGAGGTTTTGGGTGGCTTCGGGAATGCAGTACCTCTTTTGGGCTTTGGGGCTCTGGCGCTCTGCAGTATCTCTTGCCGCAGGTACACTTTGGACTCCGGCTATAATGCTTGGGCTTGAGAGTCACGAGAGCCTACTTTCTAAGTCCCATGAACCCTTGAATGACGAGGAGGTGATATGTGTAGGAGAGGATGAGGTTTGGATAAGGGTCTGGAGTTTAGGGTTTAGATGTCATTATCTTGAGAATCAGCAAAAAACGTGACAATCCGTGGACCCCCCCCCCCAGCCCCCCCAAAAAAAGGCTTGTATTCTGAGCTGGAGGACGGATGTCGTTTGGAGTTCCGGTATAGGGAACCAAATTCTACAGCCATCTCAAGCCTTCAACCTGAAACCCACCTGAACAAGCCTCTGATTAGCGGAGTCGCCCCCGGGCGCTCGAAATGCTCGCCGCAGTAAACAGAACCAGGATGGGCCCACAGCTGCGGAATTCGGAGCTCCAACCCATGAACCGCGTGATCAAATGGCGCAAGCAGTTACCAGGGTTTGGGATTTAGTTGCACGGTTCGGAAGTGGAATAAGGCTCAAACAGTGAACCAAGCTTTGACAGCTCAGCGTTGCTGATGTCGGTTCTACTATTCAGGGCTCTTGCCCTACCTTTTCTGAAATTCACAGATGCCAAATGGTTTTAGACGGCCTTTACAGGGGTAGGGCCGGGTAGGGGATGACCGTGGAAGGTTTGGTTGTGGCTCTGTCTCGGGTTGAGCTTCCAAGGTCTTGCCAGAATTTTTCGTGCCAGGGCACATGCCTCAACAATGATTTCTGAAGTCAGAGCAGGTGCGGTTGATTGGTAATGGTAGCAATCTGGACCCTCCTGTGTTGGCAGCGGGCACACTCATTTTGCCACCGGCTTGCACTTTGGAACCCTTGTGGTCCAGGAAGTCAAGGCATGCTCCAGTTCTCGCAAGATGTGCTGGAGGTATCTGCTTTTTGTGAGTCTTGGGAGAACCCCGGAGCTCCTGTGCCACATAAACGTCTCTTAAAAAGGGGAAAGCTATTGGCTAGTTGCCTCGCCCGGTGAGGTGAACCTCTGTCTTCTGACTCGAGAACTGCCATTTTCTCAAAAGTGGCGCTTAGGGCTTAGGGTGTTCGTTGGTTCAGCTTGAGGGTTCGGGCTAAAACCATGGCACATGTCTCTATACCCCAAACACCCGCAGCCACCCGCAACACACTGAACCTTTAACGGCAGTCCCAAACCCTAAACCCTAAATCCTAGAAGTCCCGAACCCTGTAACACCTGCACAAAGCCTTGCGAAAATCTCCACCGGCACACACTCACCGGCACAATTCGGAGCCCTAATTTCTCATGGCTGCCAGGACGGGCGCCCTGTGCTTAGGTTTCTCGGGGCTCAAGCATTCTTCGGATGCTACGCTGTTGGTTCGCGGCTGCGGGTTGGGAGTGGCCGGCGCGGGCCGACTAAGGTTTTTAAGGTTTCAGGGTTTCGTTTGGAGCTCCCACAGCCTCAGCGGTCCGTCTCAAACCAGTGTCTGATTTGGGTAAAGTCTGCGGTTTTGCATGACCTGCGTGCGTTGGGAGTGCTTCGGAGCTTCGACTGTTTACTGCAATGCTGTCGGGTACGATCCGTGTATGTTCTTGAGGGTTCAGGGTCTGAGGTTGCGGGTTCGTTTTCCAGGGCTGACCGTTCAGGTACTGGGCTTATGATCGCGGTGCCATCACCAAACCCAAAAACCCCGCGCCAAGACAATCCAAAACCGAAACCCATGAAAACAGAAACTCCACAGACCATCCGAAACCAGCATCCAGCGAACAAAAACAGCAAGGGTATGAAGCTGAAGAATCCTACGAGTATCTTTCAGGCCCATGTACATGAGACCCCGCGGTATAACTTTGAAACCCCATGGGCGCAAAGACTCTGCAAAACCGCATGAGGCCTCCTGGGTCGCTTGAACCGCGAACAGAGCTTGGCTACACGCCGACTGCGCGCCGCGCCGCAGGCGCCACCTTCTGCTTCCGGGCATGGTGCTTAAGGTGCTTCCGAGAGCCGAGAGCGTTGGTTCGAAGGCCTCAAGACAGGGCTTCGGCTTCGGGCTCTCCGGGTTCAGGGAACCGAACGAATCCCGGCCTGGGCTCACTCCACGCGTCCCGGGATCTGGATGCTTGCCTCGTAGCCTGGCGGAAGGAACAGTTTTGGATTTCGGGTGGCTGGTGCAGGCTGCGATGTCCTTTCGGGTCCAGCGGTTCAGCTTTAGTTGTAGGGTTGAATTTCTCAGTTTAGGGTTCAGGGCTTAGAGCTTATCGGTTGGAGCTCCAGACATACTTGCCTTCATCCCACCTTTTGAAGTCCCTGATAAGCGGTGCAGTCGGGGACTCCCCCCCATCGAGTTTCGGGGGCCTCAACATCCTAACCAGCCACGCCCTGGACCCTAGGTATCCCTCAGCAGGATTTGGGCCGGGTGTGGGAGTCTGGATTGTTTAGGGCTTCGGGTTCTGGCTTTGGGGCTCTTACGCCTCAATCAGGGATTGGTTTCCACAACCGCTCTGCCGCCTCCAAACGGCTGGGTGCTCATGACATAGAGGGGGAAGGAGATGTAGACCAGGCCCATGACGATCCTGGGCTTAAGGGTTCGAGGGTTCTGCGGTTTAAACCTTTTGAGAGCGGACGCATAACAATCCTGCAAGGTTTCTCTACCGAGTCGCATGATGCCGTAGCCGATAAGCTCCACCCGCCAGATGTGTCCCCTGGGAATGCCCAGCACGGGCGTCACCTGACGGGGGCCGGGGGAAAGCTCCGAAGTGCCGTGTCGGTCGTTATCTAGCTCCAGGGTTGTTTTTCTGGTGTCCTTACTCTTCGAACGGCCTTTCTGCAGTGAGGAGTTAGGGCCCTCCAAAAAGTCTTCGAGGTTTGAGGGCTTTCGACGAACGTGCACCTTCTTCCAGCCGATGCAGGCATGGTACATGAAGATGAAGACAGAGAAGATGTAGAAGAAGGACCAGAGCGGGTTCTTAAAGATCTGGAACTCCAAAGCCTAAGCGAACGGACAGTTTCGTCTTTTCGGGGAGGCTGAAAAGGGCGCGGTGGGAGCGAGCGTAGCGCTGTAAGGCTGGCACATAGATGTCGCGCACGCCGACCTTCTCCACGCTGGCGTCGGAGGTCCAGAAGAGGTTCAGGGAGGAGATGCCCCAGAAGTTGATGAGGTACGGAGGCGGTCGGATGTAGTAGGGGCCGAACTGGTCGGTGTCGCCGAAGCGGAACTGGAAGAGGTGGATGGTCATGAAGGTCAGGAGCATCAAGCCGGAGATGGCCAGGTTCAGGACGTTGATGCCCTGGGTCTGCACCAACGCGAGCTTCATGTCCCATGTTCGCTTCAGGCCCACGAAGACGTGGAGCAGCACCGACAGGAGGATGTACTCCTCCACGATGTTGGCGGGCAGGCCAAAGCCCGTCCAGTAGAGGCGCACGTAGAAGTAGCCGTAGCCGTTGAAGTCATCCGGACCTGTCTTCTTCCAAGGCCCATCATCCAGAATGAACCAGCGCTAAATCTACAGCGGCAACTACGATACCCGGCCTTTGAAGACGTGGAGGTTACCCACCGCGTGGATGACGATGAAGAGAATCAGCAAGATGGCACTGCGGGTCAGACCCAAGCGGTCGTTGGAGATCTTGATGTTCTTTGCAGAGAAGATGGTGGCGCACACTTCCTGAGATAGTGGAACAGGTAGTACTTACCATACCGTGCTGTCTTCCAAGATTCAGGCGTGTAGAGCGCGTCATGTTTCACGCCAATGCAGCTGCGGCACGTACAGCACCGAGAGCAGCAGGAACCAAGTGGCGTTGAAGTAGGACTTCACGTTGATCAGGAGGACACCTGCACAGCCAAGCAGCAGAACATCCACGGACAGCCCAACAGGCTAAGACTATAATTACAACTTTTCGAGTCATGTTTGTCTGCAATACTAAGCATCATGATACGGGCACTCCATCAGGAGCAGATGCGCCTGGGTTCTCGTCGAGATCCACGCGCCAGTTCGGCGCCCCGTCCAGGTGACCCCAAGCCGCGTGGTTGCCGAGCTTGCTGCCGGTGTCCTTCCTGAAATGAGAACTGAAGCGGAGTTGATTTGCGGCTTGGAGGTTTAAGGGTTCAAGAAGGCGGTCCTGATGGGCCCGCCGCCACCAGCCTTGGGAGCGGCGCTGGCAGCAGCTGCCACGCCGGAGCCGACGGCGCCGATCACGGAGTCCGGGGCGTACTTGCCGATGACGTCCGGGGGATGGATCCTCGGCAAACGGAGACAATCGTACAAACTTCTGCGCGTTTTCGACACTCCATACATCATCCGAGGGGCATGTTGAACTCCTCCGTGGCGTCCTTTCCGGCGAAGGTGAGGATTGCAAGCTCGCCACCGGGGTGATCCGACAAGAAACTGGTGACGTCCAGCACCTGACCGTCGACCACCACCCAGCAGTCCGACTTGCTGTTGTGCTTGGCCACCTCGGTCATGGGGATGCCTCCCCCGCCGCCGCCACCTCCGCCGGCAGCAACTGCACCACCCCCGCCGCCGCCGCCACCGATCATACCAATGACGGAGTCAGGAGCATACTTGCCAATCACATCCGGAGGGTGGATCCTTGAACTATGTATTTTCATGGACAGGAAAGAAAATAATAACCACACAGTACTACAGACATCATATCTGCATCCAAGCGTCATGTTGAACTCCTCCGTGGCATCCTTTCCGGCGAAGGTGAGGATTGCAAGCTCGCCGCCGGGGTGCTCCGACAAGAAGCTGGTGACGTCAAGCACCTGACCATCGACCACCACCCAGCAGTCCGTCTTGGTGTTGTGCTTGGCAACGTCTGCAAGGCTGATGCCGCCGCCACCACCGCCGCCTCCGTTTGCCATCGGTGCTGCAGCAGCCGCTGGGGCAGCAGAGTTCATCTTGTCCTCGTAGGAGCCGCCAGCCAGCTTGGAGCTCTGCACCGCGCCAGTCAGCCCGCCGCCGGTGATCGCACAAAGGTCCACATCCTTCATGTCGGCGCCCAACATGTACTTGGCAGCTGCCTTACCGGCCACGCGGCCGAACACCACGCAGTCCAGCAGGGAGTTTCCTCCCAAGCGGTTGTTGCCGTGCACTCCGCCCGCCACCTCGCCGGCAGCGTACAAGCCCGGGACTGGCAGGTTGTTGGAGCCGATGCATGCAGAGTCGGTGTCAATGAGGAGGCCGCCCATGCAGTAGTGGATCACGGGCGTGATGATGGCAACGTAGAAGGGCTCGTTCTTCACGGCATCGCCAGGGATGATATTGTGGAAGAACTTCTTGCCGCTGCCCGTCTTGCCACTGGCCTGGCATGCCGTTAACACAGTCTAAAGTCCAGTCTACTCTCAGCTGAAGTTGCTTCAGGGACAGAAGCAGCAGCTATTTGCGGCCTCGTCCCAGCACTTGCCAGAGGGATAGGCGGGGAACGGGCCGTCGTCCGGGTGCGTCTCCGTCTTCTTGGCCGCCTGGAAGTGGTCCTCGTGGGCCTTCTCGATCACGGACAGGGAGACGCCCATGTCCTTCGCCAAGTCCGCGCCGCTGTTGTAGTACTTCATGACCTGTGCATGCTCGAGAATTTATTAACACACGATTTCCACTTGTGAAACCACAACCGTGGCAACTGTGCTTCCCACGCCACGCCCCGTGTAGTGCCTCGGATGCGGCACGGACAGATCTCCTTGATTCAAGAAAACGGATGGTTTTTTGATGCGAATACGGCTTGCTCAGCACGGAGCTTGCAGTGCCAGATGATCTCGTCAGAAGCTGCCTTGTTGAGGCAAAGCCTGCGCTCATGTGCAGAGTCCACGGATGACCGGCTGTCCGTATCTGAATCTGGACATCGGGGGCCTTGGCCTGGTGTCGGGCTTGGGAGAGCGTAGGATCCTAAACGTCTAATGACTTAAAACGCTTCAACCCCAAACCCACCTCAGAATCAGGAAACGTAGTGAAATCCGAAACCATAGTGAGCCCGCTACAATGGTTTTCTTCGACACCTGAACGGCGGCTTGCTCTTCCACATCTCACCTGTGACGTAGTCCCGACCTTACAGGCAAAACGCTCACATAGCTACACGGCCATCCCTGGGGGGAGGAGCTACTTACTTGAGCCCCCTGCGGCCCAGCTCGTTGCAGAAGCGCTGGCCCTCGGCATTCAGGATGATGCCGCCCACGCCACGGAGGGCCTGCATGGAGGCATTGAGGCTTCGAGCGAGTCGGGAGGATATGGAGTCTCTGTTTGGGAGCAAGGTGGCAGAACTTGTCACAGTCAGCGGAGCCTC